ACCTTTTCCCGTCCCTTACTTTACCTTTTGCTGTCGTTGGACTGGTGCTTGTTGTTGTGAAGGTACAGTTTTTAACAGATTTTAGAATAATATTATCAACTTCAGTACACTCCTTAGGGTCAGCATTGATGACCGTACCGTTCCCCAAAATATTTTGACATCTCACCGTTCTTGTGGCAATCAATGAGCCATTAACTAAAACACACTGCGAGAAAAAAATTAGAAAATTAATAAATGAAAGAAGTGATTGAATTAAACCATGTAATAAGAGTAAGGCTCAATCAAATTTTAAATTGGTATGTTCAGATTGGTAGGTCTGATCTCATGGGTCATGTTCTTACGCAAATTTTCAGGCCCAACGTCAAAATCTGCTTTCAAAATTCTAGCGTCTTTGGTTTTTTGCTTTTGTAGACTTTCTTCGAAGTTCTTCTTTTTGACACGTTTTGAAGACGAGGAAGGATAGCATGGAAACGTAACATCCTAGTGTGCATGTGCCACCCTTGACCATTATCAGTTTAATYATTATATCACTTTTATTACAAGCATGTGCTTGGAGGAAAGATCTGTTAAGTTGAGTTTGGGAGATCTCCCCTTAATAAGGACATGACAGTGATAAGGGATCCGTGATTTGTGTTTAAACGTAGGGGTGAATTTAATCAAGAAAAGCCGTGCGACTTGATACGATCTTGGCTATTAGCAAAGACCTTTTATAGAGAAGGTAACGGGGGTGTACATACTGACCTCAGACCAATGATCAACGGCCCAAGCAGCTCCACACGCTATTTGATTACAAGGTTCGGATCGATGTGGTCGAATACTGGCGTTACAGTGACGAGATTCCACTTCACTATAAGTGAATTGTGCTACTTGTTGAACACAGGGTACCCGCCTTGTTCTATTGCCGTTTCCACATCGATGAGAACACATACCCCACGGCTCTGGCTCCCATCTGTATGAATAGTCATAATATTAGTAATGATATAATAATAATGATGATAATAATAATAATAATAATAATAATAATAATAATAAT